AGGTAATCCATTTAGGTAATCAACCCCAAATCAGTTTAAATATGAGCTCCTGAAAGGAGTGTTAGTTTGGATCTGTACCCTCTGCTCCTATAAGTGATTTATGGGGAGGGGGAGGGGGTAACAGAAACAAATAAGTAAGCTTTTGAATCAGTCACCCCCAAAAAACCCAATTGTTAGGTATGAATGAGTAATCAGGATAGAAACCCTGGGGTAATAGCTGTGGATTTTTTCCTTGTAAATAAGCAAATAGACCAGGGGTCAGCAAGGTTTATCTTGCCTGGGCTGGATTGGTCCCACAGATATCCTTCCGTGGGATGGATCATGAGCGCCTGTTATTTTCAGCATCTGCACGTGCGCAGACGCGATATCTGGCACCGCAGAAGCGAGTCCCTGCTCCGTGCTGGTTTAGTGCAGCGAGCAGGCAGGCGGCTCAGTTCAGGGGCGGCTCGGGGGCCAGTCAAACAACCTCCGCAGGCTGCTTCCGGCCCATTGGCATTGGTTGCTGACCCCTGAACTAGACCCTTTAATAATAACATCTACTTAGTGGGGAAGATTTGGAGAGGAGTAATGGTAAATCTTGAGTCCAGGTGTGGTTCTTGTTTTGACAAATAAAGCATTCACATTTAAAATTCACAAAAATAAGTAGCTTTATCCTTGTTGTAAGTCAGTTTGAGATTCATTCTTTCTTCAGAGAGGAAGTGACTAATACATTTAATAAAAGAAAAATAATAAACAATACTGCTTTAGTTTCAAATATAAAAACCCACTCCTTTAACGACAAATATTGCAATTTTTGTACTTCCCTTACCTTTTTTAGGCTACAAAAAGTAATGTAGAATAGATGGGGGGGGTTTTCCCCCAAAATGAACATTAAATTGAGCTGTTTACATACTCTAAATTTGCCTTTGGCAACAGCATTTTTCATTCTGGTTTTCTACACTTACCTGACCTATCCTGTAGTAGGAGATACCTTCCATTCAATTTCGCATCCGTTTAATCATCTGGAGATGTTCTTAAAAACTGAAATTTCTTTTATAAGGCTTCTGTTATCCGTATGCCAATTCTTCTCTCCATTTTAAAAAAAGTTGCCTTCTTGGAAGAGGGAGTACTTGAATACTGTCTTGCACCATCGCTGACATCGTCACGAGCTCACTTGAGAAGCACCTCTGCATTTCCCATCTTCTGCTTTTTGTTTAGATTGGAACGTTTTAAGAAAGCTCTCTCTTGGCGTTCTTAATGTGCTATTTCTTTTACTAGCTATTTCTATTTCTTTTACTAGCTAACCCACCCAGAGAGTTCACTGCTTATTGCGCTCTGAGAAATTGCTCCCTCTGGGTTCAAACATCACAGAATTAGAACAGATGAAGTATTGTCCTTCAGATTAAGTTATTTGTAGCCACTCCCCTCTGAAGGGTACAGGATGCAAAGTCTTCATCCTCCCTTGGCTTCCTTCCTTTTCTGTTTTCCATGGGAGAATTCTGAACAGTTGATCCCACTACTGTACAGTCATCCAGAGGGTGATAAACAGGGAAAATTCAAAACCCAGAAATGACAAGCGCATTAGTCACAGAAAACAAAACACAAGAACCAAAAGTCTCTCATATTTGTTGCATCTTTGCAATGACATCACTTAGGTACCGTAACAAAGCCCAACATTCTTGTCTTTGTAGGCTGCAAAAGGTTCCCTAGAGTGCACTAACAAACACACAAGGTAATCGTTGTATATTTACTGCATTAGCTTGCATTGGCTTGGGGGCTCTACTTGCTTTCTCATTTGCAGAGAATTCTTGATGATATCAGATGATCTCATAAACGCCGCAACTAAATGAATAAGCAGCAGTAAAAAATTTTTACCAACTTCGGTTGGTAAGGCCCCTACAACTGCTCCTAGATAACTTGGCCACAGTTGCCCATGCATTTGGTAAGCTCATGATTTGATTACTGTAATTTGCTCCATGTGGGACTACCCTTTGGGTTGGTCAGGAGGCCATCGCCGGTGCAGAACACAGTGGTGCATGCTCTGGTTATCTCCCGCTTGAACTACTGCAAAGCGCTCTATGTGGGGCGACCTTTGAAGGTGACCCGGAAACTACAACTAATCCAGAATGCAGCAGCTAGACTGGTGACTGGGAGTGGCCAGCGAGATCATATAACACAGGTCCTGAAAGACCTACATTAGCTCCCAGTATGTTTCTGAGTACATTTCAAAGTGTTGGTGTTGACCTTTAAAGCCCAGTATACCTGAAGGAGTGTTTTCACTGCCATCGTTCAGCCCGGACACTGAGGTCCTCCTCCAAGGGTCTTCTGCTGGTTCCCTCACTGCGAAAAGTGAGGTTACAGGGAACCAGGCAGAGGGCCTTCTTGATAGTGGCACCCGCCCTATGGAACGCCCTCCCATCAGATGTCAAGGAAATAAGCAACTACAGTGGTACCTCGGGTTACATACGCTTCAGGTTACAGACTCCGCTAACCCAGAAATAGTACCTTGGGTTAAGAACTTTGCTTCAGGATGAGAACAGAAATCATGCTCCAGCGACGCGGCAGCAGCAGGAGGCCCCATTAGCTAAAGTGGTGCTTCAGGTTAAGTACAGTTTCAGGTTAAGAACGGACCTCTGGAATGAATTAAGTACTTAATCCGAGGTACCACTGTACCTGACTTTTAGAAGACATCTGAAAGCAGCCCTCTATCAGGAAGGTTTTGATGCCTGTTGTTTTATAGTGTTTTTAATATTCTGTTGGGAGATGCCCAGAGTGGCTGGGGAAACCCAGCCAGGTGGGCGGGGTATAAATATTATTATTATTATTATTATTATTATTATTATTATTACTCTAGGCTGCTACTTCAGAGACCACCTTATTCCTTATACACACAGACCACTGAGATCTGCAGAAGATCTGCCATCCCCCCCCCCCAATTCTCTAGGAGCAATCATAGAACATCTTGTCCTTTACAGCTGTTTCTTAGGTGAGTGCAGGCTAGGCTGCCAGCATGTGCTCTCCAGCAGCGCTTTTTTAAAGTTTAGAAATAAAGAGGAGGAAATAAAGGAATCTGCAGACAACCTCTCAACACAGTTTGGAAGGTGGTGGTGGTTTTCAGTCTGGCTCTGGTTTTAGGAGCTGGACTAAATGTGAATTGTTGGAAGTGTAGCAGTAATTTGTTGGGAATGCCCTGGAATTAAGGTATTATTGGGAGACATAAACAACTTCAAGATTTAACTAGATGTGCAATTCTACTGAATTGTGTTATTTGGCAAGTGTGTTGAAAAGCTCAAAGTACTTGCCAAATAACTAAATGTATTCATTTAAAAATATTTGTATATTGCTTTTCAACCACAGCCGCTACCAATGTAACATATTGCAAGCAAATAGGTGCATTTTCGTACCACTGGGTTGGAAAATCTTTGCTTAAGGGATACTTAAATTTATTTGCAACAGGATCTTTTTATTGTACTTACTATGTACATTTCCCCCCTTATGGCCACTCTCTGGTTTTAGGCACAAGTTCCCAAAAACCCATTATGGTATCTTTGAGAATGTGACACTTGTTTTTAAATGCATTTTAAAACACATAGTAAAATACATTTTTAAAAAGGCAATAGACCATGGGTAGGCAAACTAAGGCCCGGATCCGGCCCAACTGCCTTCTAAATCCGGCCCATGAATCAGCGTGTTTTTTACATGAGTAGAATGTGTCCTTTTCTTTAAAATGCATCTCTGGATTATTTGTGGGGCATAGGAATTTGTTCATATTTTTTTCCCTTCAAAATGTAGTCTGGCCCTCCACAAGGTCTGAGGGATAGTGGACCGGCCCCCTGCTGAAAGAAGTTTGCTGACCCCTGCAATAGACTATTTCAGGAGTAGCACAAAGGTGTCAGGATATAATGCCAGATATAATGTACCCAGACCGCTCTATTATGTCTAGATCATTAAGGATGAAGGAGAGAATGCCCTTGGACTACAGGGGCACAGAGCTGTAAGTGTGGTGACAATTAAGGCTAAATACTACCAGGGGTGGGGCAGGAGAGGGATATAAAACAAAAGTGTCATTTTAGTTTCATTTTCACTTTAGTTGCTGCCATAAAGCACCTCTGCTTTTTGATGTGCTTTTGTGTGCGCTTGTGTATTTTGTAATCCAAGATCTCTAGACAGTAGAAGCGAAAATGCAAAAGCCTGCAAGGACAGCTTTTTAAGGACATTATTTGTTGTTGCTGTTTAGTCGTGTCCGACTCTTCGTGACCCCATGGACCATAGCACACCAGGCACTCCTGTTTTCCACTGCCTCCCGCAGTTTGGTCAAACTCATGTTGGTAGCTTTGAGAACACTGTCCAGCCATCTCATCCTCTGTTGTCCCCTTCTCCTTGTGCCCTCCATCTTTCCCAGCATCAGGGTTTTTTTCCAGGGAGTCTTCTCTTCTCATGAGGTAGCCAAATACTGCAGCCTCAGCTTCAGGATCTGTCCTTCCAGTGAGCACTCAGGGCTGATTTCCTTCAGAATGGATAGGTTTGATCTTCTTGCAGTCCATGGGACTCTCAAGAGTCTCCTCCAGCACCACAATTCAAAAGCATCAATTCTTCGGCAATCAGCTTTCTTTATGGTCCAGCTCTCACTTCCATACATCACTACTGGGAAAACCATAGCTTTAACTATACGGACCTTTGTTGGCAAAGGGACATTATAGGGCTGCTGAACTCTTTTGTCTCCCTGTCACTGTCCTGCCAAAACATCTCCTTTCTGAGATGCGACTTGCATTTCCAGAGAAAGTCCCCTTGGCGCCCTTGTAATGCAAAGCGCCAGCTTTGGAGATGCAATTTTGTTGGGACTGTGGCAGGGAGAGAAGGCATGAAACCTTTCCTCACCTCAAGGCTGCTCAAGCTTCCCAGAGATTGCTACTTACATATGAGGAAACACGCATGGACAATGTTTGTTTATTTTATTAGAAATTCCGGGGCAATCTCCAAAACGCAATGCAATAGAACCATAAAATATCCAACATCCACAGTCGATAGCTCTGCTGCTAAAGCATGAGACTCTTAATCTCAGGGTTGTGGGTTCAATCCGCACGTTGCGCAAAGGATTCCTGCATTGCCGGGGGTTGAACCAGACAGTGCCTTGTGGTCCCTTTCCAACTCTTCTATGCCAAAAAGACACATAGAAAGACTAGCAAATGCTTAAGTAGTCCACTGGGCACCCATCAGATTTTTTTTTCATACTACAACTCCCATCAGCAACAGCCCGTATAGCCAGTGGTCAGGGATGATGAGAGCTGTAGTCTGACATCCGGAGCACGTCACATTGATGTGGCTTCAACGAGCATATAAAACAAGACCAACACCAGAATGGTGTCCAACATCCTGTTTTCAAAGTGAGCAACCGGATGTCTATGGTGACAGCAACCAAGGCATAAGTACATCACGCTTCCACAATCTGGAAGAAAAACAGTTGAGTATAAGCAGTGAGGGAGATGAAATAAACCCACTAGAATCAACTTACTCCCAAAGCTGTTGCTATAACATCAACTTTGGCCCTAAGTCGAGGAGTTGCCGGGGGGTGGGGGAAGGAAGCCGAAAGAGATAACAAAGAGGAATCTGCTGTTTTATGGGGCCATTAATGACAGCTATCATTACTAAATTTATTGAGTGGATTTGTAACCCCCCTTTTTTTTACTCCAGTCTTCAAAGCAGTACACAGTATTAATACAGTGCAATGAACACAGGTGAAACAAAAAACAAAGTAAAACCAGTGAACCAGGAGCAAAAGCAAACACCTTCACTTGTCTATCCCTTGACTCCTTCCCACAGGTCAGTTGCTTCCATATGGCCCTGCCATGTCAGAGTGGCCTGGCAAACAGGTGACGTTATGCCACAGGGTGGTACTGCTCATCTGGAAGCCATCAAATATCCAGGGTTTACAGGCACCTGCTTATGCATTAAACATTGCAAGGACCCATCCTCACACACACTTCATAAGCAACCTTCTTTAATGAGCCTTGTCTATCAGTGAGAGAAATGGAGAGTCGCATAACTGACATTCCTTAAAATAGGCTGAACGGGTGGCAGGCTATTTTTACAGCACTTGCTTGTTTCTCTGGAAAATATTATAAAGCATATGCCTGCCATTTTGCTTTTTCTATAAATGAGCAGAACACTGCATAGCTGAAACAGGCTTCAGTTCCTTGGGATTTTATGTCTGTGCTCCGCAACATTTTAAAACCCACAGGCATAAATAGGATTCTCTAACTACAGACTCATTGAAATTCTATGACTGGGTACCTTAATGCAATTGCACTACTGGTTTGCTCAGCTCTTTTTAGAGGTTTGTATGCCACAACATTCCTATCTGCTTAAAAAGCAAGGACAAGATCTCCACATCCAGTCCAGCTTCCTGCCTCTGTGCAGTTATCAGCCTAGATTTTGGCAGAAGACGTTGCCTAATCTCCTTCCTTCCTTCCTAATGTCTGTTCTCTTGCCTCCTCTCACATGATTAGCAGATAACTGTTGTTGTTCAAGTAACATCAGAGGCATCTCTGGCACGCAAAACATCAGTTTCTTTCTCCGTAAACTAGCAAGCTGATAGCAGGTGACAAAGACAGCTCTGCATTAAATTTGTCGGATCCTATCGGGTTAATTCCATCCACTTCTGGAGTTGCTGGGTAATTTCCATTTTCATGTAAGAAGCGAAGGGCATGCCTTGTTTTAGGATAACTATACACAAGATTTCAGACATGCTGGCTTCAAATGTAGGAACAAAGCAGTTAAGTTCGACTGAAATCAACAGGGCTGCTTCCAAGTGAAGACTTTCATGGTTGCTTGTTGCAATAATCAGTGCAGCCCCACTTATCTTGTTTGTTGTTTTAATGCAGCAACTCTAGCCAAGGAAGATAAAGCTGAATTCCAGAACTAAGTAAAGACAGAATCTCCTACATCCCACACACTTATTTTATCTTATACAGTGTCATAAGCAAAAGCCAGGAGGAATCAGCTTGGACCACTGCAGAGATACTGGCTTGTCCACAGGAGAACACAAATAAATTGTCCCAAATGAAATGTACACCAAGAATCGTAAAAAATGGAAAACGGAGTCACTCTGACCTTCCTGTTTGATAGTTGGAGCACACACGTTACAAAGATCAAACAAGCAGTACCTCAAGGACTTAGTGGAACACTCTGTCACAAGAGACCAGGGCCCTGCGGGACTTGACATCTTTCCGCAGGGCCTGCAAGACAGAGCTGTTCCACCAGGCCTTTGGCCAGGGCACAGCCTGACTCCCTCCCTCGGCAATCTTCGCGGAGCTCTGGCCCAATGGTTGCCAGTGGCTTGAATTAATTAATTTTATAATGAATGATTTTAGAGTGTTGTTTGTGCTGTACTTTTGTACTGTTTTATTGTTGTTAGCCGCCCTGAGCCCGGCTTCGGCTGGGGAGGGCGGGATATAAATAAAATTTATTATTATTATTATTATTATTATTAAGGACCGCCTCTTTCCATATGAACCTACCCAGACCCTGAGATCATCTTCTGAGGCCCTCCTTCATGTGCCTCCTCCTCAAGAGGTCCAGATGGTGGCAACACGAGAACGGACCTTCTCTGCAGTGGCTCCCCATCTGTGGAATGCTCTCCCCAGGGAAGTTCGCCTGGCACCTTCATTACACACCTTTAGGCGTCAGGCAAAAGCATTCCTTTTTAACTAGGCCTTTGGTTGATTTACAGTACAACTTATGCCGTTTTAAAATGTGCGGTTTTTTAGAGGGGGGTTATTGGGTTATTTTTGTTTTTATTATGTATTTTGTGGTTTGATATCTTGATTTTATTCTGTGAACCGCCCTGAGACCCCCAGGTATAGGGCGGTATATAAATGCAATAAATAGTAATAGAAAGAACACTTCACTCCAGGTTCAGCCAGGTACCCATCACTGATAAAACCAACAGCCTTCCTGTCCTCACATATAATCTTGGGGGAGATGCTGGAATGTACTTTTACAGGCAATTTCAATTTACAAATGCAACTCATGCAGACAGAGGGCAACAGGAACTCCTCATTTTCACAGAATGAGCTCAGCTCAGGCAGGTGACTGGAAAGGTTTCTTCGGCTCATAAAACCCATTTACCTCCCTGAAAACTATGCAAAACAAACTCTTTCAGCATTTCCCCATCCACCAGAACACATCAATCGCTTATTTACTGGCAACACTCAAGTGAGGGGTGTAAATACAGAGTACAGTTCTATATTGCTTGATGTTGTCTTAACCTTTACCTGCCTTCGTATCTTTTGATCTATTTTGTATAGATGTAAAACTTATGATTAAAAAAATCTACAAGGCAGAACCTTCACACGCCTGCTATTTATAGGAACGCTCAAAATGAGCCAAACAATTATATTTTGCTGACATTCTTGGCTGGAATTGTTTATATCTGTGTGACTCAGAACTTTCAAAACGAGGTCATGCAGTAAAAGAGAAAATTCCAGTATGCATAGTAGAATACAGAGTGTAACAAAAATGGAAGGAAGGAAGGGGGAATAAAATAAGTATGGGGGGAAGCCACAACGGCTAGCTGAATAGCCACCCAGTCAAAGTTAAGCAGTCTTCAGTCAAACAGATTCTAAATGACTTAACTTTGCTTTTTAAGGTGCTTAACTTGGAATCATCGTATCCTCTGTTATTGGCTGCATCAAATCCTCTGTAGGTCTAAGGCAGGAATGGAGACCTTTTAAAGTCAAGTGTCGTGTTACTCTTACCTTTATACCATAGGCTCCATTAAAGGTAAAGGTAAAGGGACCCCTGACCATTAGGTCCAGTCGTGGCCGACTCTGGGGTTGCGGCGCTCATCTCGCTTTATTGGCCAAGGGAGCCGACGTACAGCTTCTGGGTCATGTGGCCAGCATGACTAAGCCGCTTCTGCTGAACCAGAGCAGCGCACAGAAACACCGTTTACCTTCCCGCCAGAGCGGTTCCTATTTATCTACTTGCACTTTGACATGCTTTTGAACTGCTAGGTTGGCAGGAACAGGGACCGAGCAACGGGAGCTCACCACGTCGCGGGGATTCGAACCGCCGACCTCCTGGTCAGCAAGTCCTAGGCTCTGTGGTTTAATCCACAGCACCACCCGCGTCCCATAGGCTCCATTACAGCCATACAAAAACCAAAAGTTTGTACAGTACACTCACACAAACACACACTCTTGCATCCAGGCATTGTCTCAATTACTCTAGCTAGGCAAAGCACTTCAGGAAGTTGCATGGCAGGTCCAGGGAGGGGCATGGCTTTCGCAGAGCCCCAGGTGAGATGGAGAAGCCTGGGTGGATGCATCCAGCCCCTCTGGGGCCCGAAGTCCTCCCCTTGGTTCTCAAAGTGCACTATAGGCCAGGAGCTGCTACTGCATTGCCTGTGGGCATCAGGGTAGCCACCAGGACCTCCTACAAAGGCATCCACAAAGGGTTTCCACCAAATAAATCCCCCAATCTGCTGTATTCCTATTGGCTTGCTCTGTCTTCCTGCTTGTTCTGCTCTGCTGCCATCTTAGGTTAACCTTACCCTCTTAAAAATGATTAGATGAAAGGATTTGACCCCCTCTTGTGTTATGGGATAGAACTTGGCTCTAGCACGGTGGTGTAGCAATATCCAGTGGTGTAGCATGGGGTGGGCTGTGGGGGCTGTGGCCCTGGGCATGTTTTTTCGAGAAGGGGAGTGACCAGGCTCCTTCATTGGAGCCTGGCTCTGCCGCATGAGGGAGCTGCGGCCCAAGCCGGACCTGGGAGTGGAGGGAGGCTGCCGTGGGTGGGTGTTTATAATTGCTTATAAACTTCCAATGGATCTCAGAATTTTCAGCCGCATAAAATATTGGTTTAAAAGATATATGTCCCCTCTTCTCTTTTAGAAAAAATATATATATTGAAAGACTATCAACCAAAATGAGTTCATTATCGTTTTCTTTCAGTTAAGTTTTGCACAAATCTATGCTTGTCCTATCTTACGTTTCCTATATCGCAGGCAGCCATACACATGTATAACACCTTGGGATCTCGGTGTGAGGCTTAAGTCTCTGGTGGCCCTTAAGAAGGTCTTGAACAGCTTTTTTTTTCTCTGCGGCAATTAATAGTTAATATAAGCTGGTGTTATAGAGTGGGCTGGTATATTGGGGCCTGGCCACGTTTATTAATTTCGGTGCTGGTTTTTAAACACTGTGGTGAATTGGAAATCGTGAGTGGTTTTAATATTGCATTTTAGAAATACACGCATGTTGCAAAGTGCTTTGTCGAGAACGTTCTAAAAAGGAAATAATAAATCCATTATATAAATGGATTCATATAATTATATAAACGGATTATATAAATGGATATAAACACAAACACAAGCTTCACCACTGCACCCATGATCTCTCCTTCCTTCGTGACACAGCATTGCTTTTCACAGGTGAAACACACTAAGACCCATCAAAATGGAAGTCTCCTCTCAGAGGATTACCTGAAACACTGCAAACAATTCTGCTTGTAAATGTGTAAAATCCTTTTTTGTTGTTGTTGAAGTTTGAGATGGCTTGCATCAAAATCTTAAACCATATCGTATACACAGTCACATCACAAACTATTTTCCTCCAAGTTACATCATGCGTAAGACTGCAAAGTTCAAAAGTCCCCCTTACAGACACAGCCAGGGCCATTAATTATACATATGGCTAGATCACAACATCCAGATTCCCATCATTGCTACAGCTGCCTGCAGTGACATTAATGTTTTCCCCTGCCCTTTTACTTTATGAATAAATAGGCTACACTGAGCACATGTTACTTACTAAATACAGAAAAGCAAGCATTTGCAAAAATCAGCTGTTTGTCGTACAGTGCACTACCCTTTACAATGTTCAGTTGTTGTTTATGTCGGAGCAGGTTTTTGTGTTACCCTGATTTGCTAGCACAAATTTCAGGAGTCGTAGTCCCTTTGATCAAATGTGTACATATATACACACACTTGGGGTGAGGTGGGTTATGTGTGTGTATATATGTACACATTTGATCAAGGGGACTACGACTCCTGAAATCTTAGGCCATAATACATGTGTCCCAAGCCTCTTTGCTGGAAATTTGGAAAAATAATAATACACATTATTGGAAATAATAGAATACAAGCATAATGGCACATTCCCTCTGTAGAAGACTTCTTATCCAGCAGAGGAATCTCGCTCATGAAAAGGGGGAGGCAGGAGGTTCCCCCTTTTTCTCTCCCCTCCCTTTTTTTGAGGGTTTCAGGACTAATTGGAACAGGATGGGATATGGCGCTCTGGGTTGCAGAAGAGAAGGGCAAGTCGATGAAAATAACCTCTCCTTCCACCCTTTCCCATCACAGGGAGCATTCTGAGTAAAAATGTTCAGTGGATGCTACCACCAGTAGCAACAAACTTTGGATTCAACCCTACAGATGTTATCTACCACTCATAGTCCAAAAATTCACATTGTGCAACACTTTTATTCTCATGCATTATTTTGCTCTTCCTATTATCTTACAGTATATAAAGGGAAAATACTAACTGTTTGACAACCTGCTGTTACTATTTCTATTGCTTCGTGGTTTAGGGCAAAAATACATAACACACACACACACACACACAAATGACCTCATATAGAAGTTAGCTATTATGATGCTTGATCTCCAATTTCCTATTATATCTATTTAAATTATTTTATTATTTCAATAAACCCTACAAAGTATGAACTTTTTGCTTGCATTCACGTTAAAACATATTTTAATAAATGCTATTATGAATTACTTTTATTATTCGGATCTGCAGAATCCCAGAATTATGAAAACATGAAACTTCTTTTTTTCATCACTTAGGTTATACTATGACTACACTTTGCAACTTTTGGTGATTAAGAGCAGGTTTTTTGCTTTTTAAAGTTCTCCTCCAGAAGATAAACATTTTTTCCTTTATTTCCATATTCTGCATGGTGCACATCACAGAAAAGAAAGATATAAAATAGAAATCCCAAGACTGGCAATTAGACAAAAAGATCCTAAAATAATTGCGCTACTGTTTTCATTCTTAAAAACCTGAATTTTTGTATTTCCCCAAGCTGCTTCACAGACATTTAACTTAAGAATGGATTTTACCTTCTGAAGCACAGGAATGCTCCGTCTTTCTTAAAGAAGCTGGATGTTCACTTCCATAAGGTCAGCCAAAGAGTATGTGGTTCCTGAATACCAAAGTCTGCCAAGTGATTTATTTCAAGAGACTTACTCACTTCCTCAGTTATTTCTTGTATATATATTTTTTATAAATAAAAAAACCAACCCAGCAACACCCAATTTTTAAAAGTATTAAAGGAAACTAACCAACACATCCTGAAAGAAAATAATACCAAGGCTCACGCAAGATAAAATCTTCTGAAAACTCAAACAAAAAGGAAAAAGTAGAGGGGAAGGCAGGGGTTTAATATCTTTGAAACACTTTGTGCTTTTAATTGCAGCATTTTAAGCAATTTATAGCTACATTTCAAATAACATTCTAAAGTAGGGTCAAGCAGCACAGTGCTCTCTAGATGTTGGACTCCCAATTCTGCTTCCTTAACAAACCCAGTATTATTTTTCTAGAAAAAGAGGAGCTGGAACTCACCATGAATGCCTCCGTTGTTCTGTATAATGGCGCCCACCTGAGGTGCTGGAATTGAGTTCTGGCAAGTTCTGGCTGAAAATAAGCCCTCATCTCATCTACAATCAAATGTTTAATCATCTTCACCATGGATGGTCAACTGGCAGCCCATGGCTCCTAACGGCCCTACCAAACTGTTTACAAGGTTCAGCAAAAAAGCCATTATTGTTGTTGTTTGTTTAATTTTGTTGCTGTTGTTGATCAAATTTATATACCACCAAATGCCATTTCATTCATAAGGGAAAGAAACGTGTTTCGAACTTGTAAGGAGAAAAGGTATATCTAAGCTTAATGTTAAATATGTATTCTATAGCTTTTGTATATATCATTTTTTAATGTACATAATTACAAGCAAGGCTAATACAGTGGTGCCTCGCAAGACGAAATTAATCCGTTCCGCGAGTCTCTTCGTCTAGCGGTTTTTTCGTCTTGCAAAGCAACCCTATTAGCGGCTTAGCGGATTAGCGCTATTAGCGGTTTAGCGGCTATTAAAGGCTTAGCGGCTTAGCGGCTAAAAGGCTATTAGCAGCTTAGCGGCTTAGAAAAAGGGGGGGGAGTGGAAAAAATCTCAAGACTCGCAAGACATTTTCGTCTTGCGAAGCAAGCCCATAGGGAAATTCGTCCTGCGAAGCGCATCGAAAAACGGAAAACCCTTTCGTCTAGCGGGTTTTTCGTCTTGCGAGGCATTCGTCATGCGGGGCACCACTGTATGCATTTTCTGTCCCCTTCCCTTGAAGAACAGAGTGACGCCAGATGTCATGAGTCCCTAGGAGGCACCTTGGAGGGGCTGGTCAAAACAGAACCTCCGGCACTGTGTCCCACACCTTGAAGCCCCCTCCTTCTGCAGCTCCCACGGACAAAGATCTCCCCACCCAGAAGGCACTCAATACCTTCGTTACCTAGGACACAGAGATGACAGAGCCACCTCAAACAGACTGCTTGTGCCCAGTCCACTGGGAGTTCCCATTTGCTTGTTCATTCCACACATGTCCGCCTCTGAGGGGGATCAGGTGATGTGTCAGATGTTGGACCAATGTCCTAGCTAGGTTAGCCATGTCATGCCCCTGCTGCACAGGTGTGCCCTTCACCGTGTTTATGTACCGTGGTACAGTGGTATCTTGGTTTTCGAATGTCTCTGTTGACGAACATTTCGGTTCGTCAACGGAGTAAATGCTTTGGTTTTTGAACATGCCTTGGAAGTTGAACATGCCACGTGGCTTCCGCTGAGTGCAATACAGTGGTACCTCGGGTTACAGACGCTTCAGGTTACAGACTCCGCTAACCCAGAAATAGTACCTCGGGTTAAGAACTTTGCTTCAGGATGAGAACAGAAATCACACAGCGGCAGCGGGAGGCCCCATTAGCTAAAGTGGTGCTTCAGGTTAAGAACAGTTTCAGGTTAAGAACGGACCTCCAGAACGAATTAAGTTCTTAACCAGAGGTACCACTGTATCTTGAGGTTTGGCTGTCGGCTACAGAGTTTTCGGTTTTCGTCCATTTCAGAACTCAGACGGTCTTCCGGAACGGATTACGTTTGAAAACCGAGGTACCACTGTAGTAGAAAACAGAATATGAATCCTTCATCCAGTCAGAGCCAGGGCACCAAACAACACCTAATTTGCACAGTCCTAACCTATATTACGGGAGGCGGGTGGCGCTGTGGTCTAAACCACTGAGCCTCTTGGGCTTGCTGATCAGAAGGTTGGCGGTTCGAATCCCCGCGACGGAGTGAGCTCCCGTTGCTTGGTCCCAGCTCCTGCCAACCTAGCAGTCTGAAAGCACACCAAAAAGTTTAAGTAGATAAATAGCTACTGTTCCAGTGAGAAGGTAAACGGCGTTTCCGTGCGCTGCTCTGGTTTCGGTGTTCCGTTGCGCCAGAAGCGGCTTAGTCATGCTGGCCACAAATGCAGACTCCCTCAGCCAGTAAAACGAGATGAGCTCCGCAACCCCAGAGTCATCTGTGACTGGACTTAAATGTCAGGGGTCCTTTACCTTTTTTTAACCAATATCAAAGTTCTAACACAAAGGTGATGCTGAAGTTTAAGCTAACTCTCAGAGACTATAGCCTGCAATGTGAGCCGGCTACATGAATTTGAATTAATGTCTGTGGAATGCTCTCCCTAGGGATGTTCGCCTGGCGCCTTCATTATATATATTTAGGTGCCAGGTGAAAACATTCCTCTTCAACCAGGACTTTGGCTGATTCATATTCTACAGCCTTTTAAATGTGTCTGTGGGAAGTGGGGGGGGGGTCATCGTTTTGCTGTTTTGTGTTAATTACCGTATTTTTCGCCCTATAGGAATGAAGGGAAAATGTGTGTGTGTCCTATGGAGGATGCCCCATGCATCGCGCAGGTGTCCGCAAGCCTTGCGCGCCCTGGGGGAGTTCCTCCCGGGCTCGCAAGGCTTGCGGGCAACAGGCTGTTCTGGGGGCTGGGGTCGGGGGAAGCTCGGGCTTCCCCCGCCCCCAGCTCCGCAAGCAAGCTCCGGGAGCGATGGCAAGGTTGCGCAACCTCGCCTTCGCTCCCGGACCCCCAGCCCCGAGGCTAAAAACGAAGCCAGGACAGCGAGCAGGATTCATCCCGCTCGCTGTCATGGCTTCTTTGCTCTTTGGGGCTCGGGGGGGGGGGATATATTTTTTTTCCTTTATTTCCCCGCCAAAAAATAAGTGTGTCCTATGGGCCGGTGCGTCCTATAGGGCGAAAAATATTCTATTTACTTGTTTTTATCCTGTATTTTATTCTGTGAGTCACCCTAAATTCTTATGATGAAGGGTGGTACATACATCTAATTTTTTGTGGTTATTGTGGTTGTTGTTGTTCCCTTGCACTTGGTAATTTTTTAAAAGGACAAAAAGAAGCAGCATTAATCAACACATAACATCTCTGAGAAATGACCAGCATGCAGCAAGCTTAACTTCTGTCTGCCACCTGTGGTTGCTTGGTTTTTATTACAGCCAATGATACATCAAACACCATTTCATTAAAAACAAAACAGGAACCAACAGTTGATCTGGACTTTCTAGGATTTAGTCCAGACATTTCCTATAAGCAAAAGTTCATGTTTACCAGACACTATGCGGAGCAGCAATAGAAGTTTCAGAACAGTAGGGGAACTATTCTAAAAAGAAGAAAAGTGGGGGCGGAAACCTTGGGAAAATGAAAATATTTAAAACAAATCAAAGAGTACTTTGAGCCAAATGGAAACTCTCAAACAAATAGTCCCAGGTACAATATAAACATTGCAACCTTGTCATAAATGCTGGAAAATAAATAAAGCAAGACCAGGCTGTGTGCTCACTGATCAATTAGATACTGGCTTGCAGCAGACTTTATTTTTGCAGACTGTTGAGAGGAATTCCTGGGAAGTTTATTACAGAATCCTC